AAAACCAATATTTTAATGCCTTTCTGGTAAACTCAATTTAACAAGCAGAAAGTCAAGTATGCCAAGTAATGCCCGCTGATTATAAGACTTCCTCTACAACCTCAGGTGATGGACACTTTAAGTTGGAGTTAGAAACGTCACACATCGCCATTAATCTCTAATTAAGACAGTGTGAAAAACTGAAAACACGTGGCAGCAATTTGGGTCGGACAGCTACAGAAACTTTTGTTCAGTGTTGGACGAGGTAGTCCAGTTTTTTTTTCCTAAACCTTTGGCATTTCCCTCATCACTCCTGTTCCCTTCCGACAGCTGGAACAAGAAGCGTCTTTGAAGACATCATGCCTGACAGCACACATGCTTCACCAACCACGGCACGTTTAGAAAAGAAACAGCCTTGCTGTCCTGAGACAACACACAAGTGAATGCCACGCTAACTTGCTATCTTCAATTTTCTTTTTCTTTTCCGCACTCCTTCACACAGCAAAGTTACTTTGCCTTCCTCATCCAGGAGCCGTCACCTTAACAGCCAAGGGAAGAAGCTCAACTTCAGGTAAAATCAGTGAAAATAAGCAAGTCACCACTTTCATGTAAGCTGGTGGTTGGGTTAAAGACCAAACTAAATATGTTATTGCCTTATGAACATTTTGTAATATATTAATCATTAATTTTTAATCCAGACTCTGAAATGATACAGTCACAGTAGCAGGAAATACAGCTACGTGCACACCTGAGAGAGCAAGCCATGGCATCACAGAATGGCCTGGGTTGAAAAGGACCACAATAATCATCTGGTTTCAACCCCTCACTGTGTGCAGGGTCACCAACCACCAGGCCAGGCTGCCCAGAGAAAGAGAAGAGTTCTATAGAGGTCCATAGGAAGAGAATTTCATCAGTGACACAACGGTAATTACTTCAGGCCCTGACAAGTAAGAAAACATGAAAACGGAGGAATCCTCACAAAGAACTCACTCCATCTAGCTGTGCTGCAAATAAATCAAGAGAAGAATTCATGGCACTGGCAGAGCAAAAATTACAGCATCAGAAAAGTACAAATGACCCACTTGGAGCAATAGATCTCAATCCAACCAAAGGGATTTAAAGGGAGCCTACAAACAGGAGGGGAATCAACTCTTGGAAAGGGTTGATAACTGCAGGACAAGGGGAAATGGTTTGAAGTTGAGGGAGGGAAGATTGAGGTTGGATATCAGGGAGAAATTCTTTACAGAGTGGTGAGGTGCTGGAACAGCTGCCCAGAGAGGCTGTGATGCCCCGTCCATCCCTGGAGGTGTCCAAGGCCAGGTTGGATGGGGCCCTGGGCAGCCTGGGCTGGTATGAAATGGGGAGGTTGGTGGCCCTGAGTGTGGCAGCGGGGTTGGAGATTCGTGATCCTTGAGGTCCCCTCCAATGCTGGCCGTTCTGTGATTCTGTGATATAAACGGGCATGAGACCTGCAGTGGAGAAATCACCATTTGGAGATCTGACTGCTCTGTCGAGCAAGAATAATGAGTATTAATATATAATTAAAAGATGGCAAGCGTTTGGGGATAGGAGCAGGTACCAGGGATGGATGCTGACCAAAAGCATGTTAAAAATTAACAATCCACTGTTTGTGTTTTCAGCTCTGCTCAGTCTTCCTTCACATCTTCCACTGTAGTGGAAGGAGCAAAGCTGCAGAAGGCAGCAAATGCTTCACGTCATTCTGAGGTAATCCTGCAGAGTGCACGAAGGGCCTCACGGACAGGAGGCCCATCACAACCACGTCAAACTTGATTCAGAGAAATCAAACAGCCTGTCTTATTTAAGTGAACGAACACGCTCCCTGTTACAAACTTACACTCCTCATGAATATTTCACTGCAAATCGCTTTCCATTTCATGATGTAATGAATAAATCAGAGTCGGAGTGTCAATTATGTCTTTATGCTGTCTTCCTTTATTCAGGGTCTCTTAAACCTGATCTGATTTTTCTTTCTCTTTGTATTAAAGGTCAAAGATTACCAGCTATCTTGCTAATGCTAGGAGAGAAAAAAATACACTCCCTGACAAAAACCTGCATCTACAAATCCAGGTAAGCAGAGAGGATAAAGATTTTACAGAGGTCAATATCAAAAACCTCCTCGAGAGTCCCAATAACCCGTCCAGCCTAACGCCTGAGATCTGCACAGTCCCAGAAAAGATGTCACTTAACATTCTCTGTGCTCAGTAAGAAACAGGGTTTCACACAGCAACACTTCAATGACCCACCTGAAGGAAACAGGCCTCTTCTGCTCAGCGACACCACCACTTAAACCCAGGCTCTGAACTTGAAAATCAGCAATCTACATGCATACATGTAAGCACTGCTGCTCATGACTGAAACAATAGGCATCTTCCAGGAGCAGTTTAGAATAGCTCAGGAAGGTGGGCGGAAGGCAGGCATTATCAGTTCCTAAACGGGAGGACTGTGATAAAATGTTTTTTAAAAGGGAATAGCATACTAACGTTCTGCCAGACCGTATTTTTTTTAAAGGAAAAAAGATTTGAATAACCAGTGTAACAACAGCTAGGATCATGTTACCTCAGAGGGGGGAAAAAACCCTTGATGTTTATCAGGAAGTTTGTTCAATGTCCCACTGTAGTAGAAGCAGAAATTCCAGGCATAACTTAAAAGGCGGTCGTAAGAAACAGGGCCTTGGTTACTTCAAAATGCTCTCTCCCAGTCTGTCGCATTATTTTCATTTCTATAAAGTGTAATTTGCAATTCTGATGAAGAAAGAGATCAATCCCTCAGCTGCAGCAACTCTGCCCGAAGAAGTAAAAGCTGAAAACCAACCACTTCCAGAACGCTCAGGTCCTTACTGCTTCATTTCTCATACAAAAGGGATGAAGAAAAACTACCACTCCCTCCTCAAAACAGAGGCACAGAATTAGCTCTGCTACCAGCCATACCACAGCCCAAGAATGCAAACCAGCTGACTGCCTAAAACCATTAAAAATGCTCAATTTGTGAGACAGTAAAAAGTAACCATCTAGCCAAACAATCCTCCCAAGCAAGGCTGTAATCCCAGCTTGTCTGCTTCCTCTTCTGAGGTGAGCGCTCACCTCAAAGCACACAAAGTACAGTTGCTGAAATCAACCCAGGCAAGTGCTCTCCTCCTAGTCATGCATGCACGTTCATGCTCTCCTTAGCTATGAGGGCACAAAGGAGTTCCTCCAGTTACACACAGAGCAGAACGACAGAAGTTATCACACTGAATGAACACAACTGGACAGCCAAACAGAAAGGCTGAACAACAAGCAGCATCAGTGGCAGCACACCCAGAACCTTCAGCGCTGCGCTCCACAAGGTTTCCCTCCTGCTTTAACCCCAGAGACATCTTTTCCCTGAACTTTAAGGAGAAACTGCATTGTTTTTGCTGCAACACAGAAAGCATTCTACCAGGAGTTAGCACGTTTACTGCTTTGTTTCGCTCACATTTACAAAAGATATTTGTTTAGATGCTGCCACTGATAATGATGATGCCATTAAGTTACCAAACTCCTGCACATGCTACAAAACAGATCAAGCATTTTTTTCAGTCTCAATTAACACCGTTTTCAAGCAGTCTTAATGCAAGTTTTTTTAGAAACAATGACAAAGGTCAGCTCTCCAAGAGAAGCACCAGGCTGCTCTAATACCTGCCTTCCTATCTGCTTATCAGCTCTGCAGTTCACTCTCACAAGCTATTTTGAAACATACAACCAAAGAAACAAAACAACTTTGTGCTTCAGGAAATGGCTCATCACACAAAAAAAACCCAACAAAAACACCTTTAACTCTACAACAGGAACAAAAACAGAGTGAAGAAAATGAGTGTATGTCCGTTAACTAATAAATTCATATGAATAATCTCTCAATCTCTCTTAAGACCCAAAATAACTGTTTAATCTGTAAGAAGCTTTCAAAGTTAGCACTCAGAAGTCTCAGTTATTTTCCACTGCAACATCACCTCTTATACATATGGCAACAGTTCTTTCTTAAATACATTCTTAAATACAAGAAAATTCACTTCAGATTAGAATGTTGCATATTGCTCTGATGATCACATGGAGGTGAAAATATTCAAAATAGTGATTAAAGCCGTCAGTCAAACCACAACTAAGAACGTATAGTAGACCAAGTTCAGATTCAAATGGTGCAGCTAAGAGTAATATAACTGTAATTAAATTAGAACTGCTTTGGACTTTCACTGTAAGAAGAAAGAAAAGAATTAAAATTTGTTCTTCAAACAAGATGTTTTAAAGGCAATAAAGCCCTGGGAGCTAATGTCAGATTGCAGCTGATGTTTCACTCTTATTATCCACGACTTGTTTCGGGTCAATTCAAGCAAGCAATAGCTGGACCTACTGCCAGCCAGTAGTCTCTCAATACTAACTGTCTTCTCAGGAATACCAGTTCACATTTCTCCTCCTTCTCTGCAAAAAGGATAAGGGAGCAGAGATTAACATAAAAAAAAAAAAAAAAAAAAAAATAAAAAGACACAGAAAAAAAATGTTTCAAAAAGAGAACTCTGCTTCTGATTTTTTCTATCCTACCCGAGCTATAAAGGTTAGCTTTTCTGGGGATGTTTTCTGAAGCTTCAAGGGTAAAGAATGCCACGCAAATGACAACAGATGGCCTGACTGCTACACTTGGTTTTCTCTCCCCACATAACACTTCGATACTAAGCTTGTTTATCAATTTAACATCACAAATGACACCTACCACAACAAGTTGAGCTCCTGGATGCCAGAGCTGATCTAATAAAGGCGTTCACACCCGTATTTACTACTGCCACACAAGGTCACAGACCCCTACCAGGAAGCAGGAGACTTAACAGCCAAAACTCGCCCGTGTTTCCAAAATAAAGCGGCGGCACCAGCAAGAGGGCACGCACACGTCCAAGCACACTCGTGCTGGGAAACGCCGCTTCACGGCACGGCTGTACCTGCGCGAAACAAAGCGGCGAACCCCGGCCGAGAGACGGGACGGAGCCGAACGCGATGGGAAGGGACCGCCGGCGGAACGGCCGCCGGGAAGCGGCGCCCGGGCCGGGAGCGATCCGGGGCCCCAAAAGGCGGAGCGGCCGGTCCCGGCTGCAGGGAGCGTGGGAAGGACGGCGGGGCCGAGCGGGAGGGAAGCGCGCAGCGCCGGAGGACGCGGGCGGGAGCCGGGCGGCCCCGCAGACGGGCCGGAGGTCCCGGGACCACCGCCGCGGGGCGCGGAGCGACGCCAACAGCCGTGCCCAGCCCCGGCTCGGCCCGGCGGGGCAGGGCTGCTCGGCGGAGCCGAAGCCCCCCGGGCGGCCTGGCCTACGCCCGCGGGGTCCCCGCGCCCCTCGCCTGTGCCGCCGCGCCCAGCCGGAGCCGAGGAGAACGGCGAAGCCGCCGCGCCGCCCCGCGGGGTCCGATCCCTGCCCATTCCCGAAGCCTCCGCCCCTCCCGCCGAGCCCGCTCCCCTCACCGGGCGCGGCGGCGTAGCAGCTCCTCCGTCCCTCGGCCAAGATGGCAGCCGGTCCGAGCCCAACCTGAGGCAGCGACTTTCCAAAGTCGGGCGCGATCTGCGCGCGCGCGGAGTCGCCGGAGCCACCGCGGCCGAGCGGCCACTACAAGTCCCGGCGTGCCCCGCGCGGGGAGCTGCGCGTGCGCACTGCGGCCGGGGGGGGGGGGTAGTCGCCGGGCAGGGCGGGTCGTGCCGCGCGCGGCCGCAAGAAGAGCTGCTGTCGGTGAGGCCGTGCTGGCGGCTCGCTGGTTGTGGCTTTGAGACGGGATTAAAGGGGTTTTTTTGTTCGTTTTTAATGCATCCACGACAAACACTTAAGATTTTGATATTAATCTTAATAAAGCCTTTTTTGTTGTTGTTTGAAGTGACTTCTTTTTCATTACCAAGGTGCCCATAACACAACCAAACATGTAGAAATAACAGCGCTTGGCCTCATTTGACAGTGGGGTATGAAGGTGCAGTTTCCAGGCTATGAAATCGGAGAAAAGACTCCTTAATTCTCAAAGTGTAGAAAGGCCCTGCTAATATTTTAGTGAAATGACTTCTTTAGAGGAGCGGATTTTAGTTTTCTTACAACTGTTGGGCTCTGAAGCCATCCCCAGGTCACACACATGTGCCCACAGGGCAGCTCGTGCACAGGAGCCACGTCAGCATTCCTGTAGGTGAGGTCAAGGCCAGCAGGCGGCTGGCCTTCAGCAGGATGGCACCCATATCAGCACCCACCATCCTGTTAGCATAAAATTCTGCCTTGTGCACCCCACCCAAAAGCAGTCATCTCTTCTCCATCATCACAGTACAGAAAGCTGCCCCGGGACAGTAAGGCTCAGGCTGCCTTTATCTGGAGTTCCACATCTGCTTAGCTGGGTTTCCTTTGTGGTGTGCTTCTTCTATCTCACAGCTGTTTATGACATTGTTTTTGCAGACTGCCTGTGGTATCCCAAAAGTGTAGGTGCCTTGTGACCCTTTACCCTGGCCATGGGAGCTAAGTTTGTAGTGTTAGGATGGCGTTTTCAGGAAGGAGTGCTGCCCCAAGCACACACAGTGTGACTCCTATCCAATGCAACAGACGTGCATGTATCACTGGGGGAGCGTGGCTATTTGCAATCTCTGTTTTTATCTTTTAGGCTTTCAAGGTAAAGGTTGCTAAAGCAGATTAATGACACTCAATATTGCTTTTCAGAGACACCCTCTAATTACTCCTGTTAAAATTTTTTTCCTCCATTTGTAACTTGCATTGGGAATAAAAATGTTATTCAGCATCAGCAACCCCAATCTTTTTTTTTTTCCAGCTTTTGATGCTTCAAGTCAAGTTCCACTGGTGTTACCTGTGAAATTCATAAGCAGAATGCATTCCAGGTGCACAGATTACTGATTATTTTATGCTTCCAGGACAAGATGAATGTCATGAAATCTTCCCATTCAAACTCTTTCATAATTTTCCCTGTTAAAAATCATAGCCTTTCTGTGAACTGCTATACCAACACTGAATAATGATTTAACACCAGAATGACGCAGCAAATGCAGATTAATTTAATTCAGTGTTAGAAGTGACCCCAGCACCTCTTCCAGCAAATTGTGTTCCAAGTACTTGCCCCCTGTGTCCTGCTGAATTGGAGTTACTCCCTTCCAGAGGCAGGACTGTCTTGGACCAGTTGCATTTATCTTTGTTGAGTTTCTTGAGATTTTATCCACCTTCATTTAGGACTTCACTAACACTGTACAATTCAACAACAAAAAGCCAGTTCTGGTACTGAAGGGTGACCATGGAAGCAATTCTGATGGTGTGAATACTTACCTGTTCTGGGCTAGACACAGCCCCAAGCAAATATCACACAATGACTGTTCGGTAGTCATCAGATGTCATCAACTTCCATTAGCTGCTAAGCTATTTTAAATCTTTAATAACGGCTTAACACTTCTGCCTGACTTAAGGTTTTGTGAAGCTGATGACTTGTAAGTGTACGAATATTTCATTTTCACAACATTTTTTTTACGACTGGATTTCAAAGTACTTTGTAAACAACTGTAAAGCAAGTCATCTTATAAACAAGTCTTCTAGAATTTGTGTTAGCTGGATAATTGCTGCAGAAAGTGATTTATAATTTAAGATCAAACTTATTTTGAAATTATCATCCTTAAAAAGATATTATTTTTGTGCTGTTTTATAATCAGTTGTTTTCACTCATGAACATAGAAGTATGGTGATAGAGCATGTATAATTCTAACTACCTTTAAAATCCGTATTGATTACTTTGACTGGGATTTAGAAAAATATCAGTAGGAAAATATCAATTAGTTCCTGCTAACTGGAGAAAGAATGAACAAAACCTTCAAGGTTGGCAAAGCACTGTTATTACTTCCAAGTAATCTAATTAAAAACAAAGACATGTGGCTATTTAATTAGTTTATCATTCAATTGCTCTCCAGTGCATAATCAGAGAACCAGGAGGAAGTGATTAGCTGTCTTGGGAAAGGAAATGACACAGTCAAGATATATGAACGTTTTAAAGGAAGGACGAGATACTGGGAAGATTGTTACTGTCTTCCCACACAGAAGGATGAATGTGAATTTTTCCTGGGACTGAAGAACATTATACCATAAATTTGCTGGGAATTTTTCGGGAAAAGATAGGGCATGGTGGTGCTGGGATGTGTGAAACTTAGAATCATTGAATGAATCATAGAATCATAGTTTCTATGATTCATAGTTTCATAGGTTTGGGTTGGAAGGGACTCTTAAGATCACCTCGTTCCAACCCACTGCTATAGGCAGGGACACCTCCCCATAGGCCAGGCTGCTCACAGCCCATCCAGCCTGACCTTGAACACCTCTGGGGGGGGGGCATCCACAACCTTGCTGGGCAACCTGTTCCAGTGTCTCATCACCTTCACAGTAAAGAATTTCTTCCTGATATCTAGTCTAAATCTGCCCTCTTTCAGTTTAGAGCCATTTCCCCTTGTCCTATTACAACATACCCTTATAAGAAGGTCCTCCCCAGCTTTCCTGCAGGCCCCTTCAGGTACTGGAAGGCTGCTATAAGGTCTCCCGAAGAAGAGCCTTCTCTTCTCCAGGCTAAAGAGGAGAGGTGCTCCAGCCCTCTGATCAGCTCCATGGCCCTCCTCTGGATCTGCTCGCACAGCTCCACGTCCTTCTTGTGTTGGGGGCCCCAGAACTGGACAGTGCTCCAGATGGTGTTTCATGAGAGCAGAGCAGAGAGGCAGAATCACCACAGCTTACTGTGTGTTCTTCGATTGGAAGCTTTGCCCTGCTCTTGTCCTCACAGAGGTCTTGCAAGCAGCCTGAAGTTCAGCTGGATCAGTGGTGAAATGGCACTGCAGGTTTACAGGATCCAGAGGCACCCCTTGGGTCCTTGCTACGGCCTTGTTTTCCAGACCCTATGTCTAGGAACACATGCTTTTACTCCGTTTCAGGAGTAGGATACCTGCTTCTGCCAGGCTCTTTAAGAAGAGTTTTTTAAACTTCGGGCCCAAAGTTTACTCCTGTCCCACCCTGATACCCGCCCTCATTTGTACAGTTGCTTATTATTTACAACAGAAAGACTGAATCATTCCCTGACTGTTTACCTCCTTGCAAATTGTTCTGGTATAAATTAGCTTGTGTTTCAGAGCAGAACAGATGCTGATAGAAAGCTATGTAATATCAAAGCTAACACAAAGGAAGAAGCTACAATTTAAATAACTGGGGTTTGAGCCAAAGCCAAATAAAGCCAATAAACTTTTTTTCCACTGTTCTATTCTCCATTTTTTAAATTTTTTTCACTTTCAGGACTGTATATCTTCTTTATATAGCCCCTTTTACCAGGACACCCGAATGCTCTCTACTAAAAATTACAAAACATCCCAAGCTATAAATTCCCTTGAGGAAGGCATCATGTGATGTGTCTCACTAAGTCTGTTTGTCCCTTGGAGCTGCGGCATTACACTTCTAAATAAGAAAATGTGAACAAAAGCTCTGGTCTTGGACTACAGGGAAACTAACAGGAAAAGATTTTAGCTATCTCCTGCTAGTAATAGTCTCACTCTTTCACTCTATTTATTTTACCCAGCCTTTTTTATATGCTCAGTAAGCATGAAGTAACTGGGCAGCTGAATTACAGACTTCAGGTGAGGAACAGGAAGGGCAGGAGGCTTGCTGTACCAGTCCCATCGCATGCCATTAACATACCACATGCAGTGTTTGGAATTTCCCAGACTGGTTTAAGGGGGAATTTACTTGGTTAAACTTGCTCTACGAGGCTTAGGGCTTAGTCCTCAGTTCTTGTTGTGCTCATGCTCGCTATGACTTGGAGGCAGGAGATGACGTTGCATTGTCTTACCACCAACCCAGAGTCCCAGGATCCTAGGGACTGAACCAGACTCTTATTTATCAGATTCCCCAGAGAAACAAAACCTGATATTTTTTCCCTTGTTGGGGGAATAGTGAAAATAATAGTTAAGAGGTAAAATTAGTTCAAATGTCTCTTCATACTAGTTCACTTTTGCTCCAGTTCATGCTTGCACTGGCTGTACAGATAGCATGTTCTCAAGTAAATAATTTCTAGGATCCTTGCAACATAGACATAGCCTTCTTTTAACCCTTGGACTACCCTTACTCCTCCAAACGGAACCAGCTTGATCATACCAATCTCTTATGCAAATGTTGGCAGTCCTCGTCTAAAGGGAAGTTGAAATGAAGGCTCCCTCTGCCCTCTGTTGGGCAGTTAATGACAGAAAGTGGTAGCACAAACACATTCAGAACCTGGTAAAGTGTGGTATGTCTCTACCAAGGAGCAGGGAAGAGAAAGTTAGCTGCAGTGAATCTGGAATTTCATGAATTTAACGCCACTGGGACAACTGGTATAGTCATTTACATTACAGTAATAGAAATGTTGCTGTAGTACAAGTCAAAGTTGAACTATATCCCGAGTTTTGTTATTCTGTATTGCTGCAAAGAGCAATAGTGTGAAACAGCATTGTGAAGGACTTTGTAAAAACGTATGAGGTCATACATGAGCTTCTGCTAGAGACAGACAGGCAGAGGTCACTTGCAGCCTGAGCTGTAACACGTTTGTGAGTACTATGGTATGTATCTATGCTGCCTGTAATGACACTGTACTAAAAGCCAACATTAGGCATCAACAAGAGCTCAAGACCACATGTAATCCACACTAAGCTAAATTAGCAGTGTGAGTCACATATGTAAGAAAGCTGCTGCAAACTCCAGCTGCTGGCTGGGGCCTTTGCAGCCCTTCTGTGGGCTC